ATGAATCCAAAAATGTTATCAGTAGAGTGGCATGACAATTATTAATCCAACCTAAATCCAAAGGTGGTCTAGGCATAATTGATCCCACCACCCAAGTGAAGACACTCTCCATTCAATGGATAAAGCGCCTACTATTCAACCCCCAAACCCCATGGAATAATCTGGCTTGCGAACAAATCAGATGCCTTGCCCCTCCCATCCCAGATGAGGTTGACCCTCTTATGTGGTTGGCGAATCGTGCCTGGCCGATTCCAAGGGCATCCCCTTCAGAAAACCAAAATCAGGACTTATCTGATCGCCAAGCAGCAAGGACTGACCTGTCAAGGGACCCCTTCTGGACTGACCTACTCAAAACGTGGAGGGAACTACCCATCCCAGATAAAGTAACACCGGAAAGATGGGAAGAAGTATGCCAACAAACACTATTCAACAATGCGTTCGTTAGAGACTCCCATGGATGCACCTTAAACTGTACGGACTCTCCTTGGAAAATTTGGATTAGAAGAGGAGTCACGCGCATCAGAGACATCTGGAGTGTGGAGGACCAAGATTGGATTGACATCCCGAACCTTTATGATAGATTAAGAAACTGCCACCATAAAAAAGAAGCATTAGAACGGATAATTGACATAGATTGGGTTAGAATCTTGAGAAAAAGACCTACCCTTATTCTTAATGATTGGGTCTCCATCCATGATCAGCCAGGTGTGGTAGGGAAGGTTAATGAGCTCCGCCCTAATGGTGATGTGCCAATGACAATTTATGTGTTAGGGGAGGATGAGTTTCTTAGATTCTCTCCACATCAGAGCACGAGACTAATCCAAAAAGACAGATTATTCAGGATTAGGGTATTAATGATCAAAGATAGGTGGCTGGTCTATAAAACAGATACTCCTATTTCTCATCTCGGACTAGATTCTGTTAGTTGGTCGTGATCATCTAATGCATTGCCAGGACGTTCCCATACCAAGGCTCTTCACACGCTGTCAGTAAAATCCACATACAGGATGTTGCGCCCGAAGATAAATTTAAAAGATAGAATAGAAGAGCGATGGATGAGACACCTAAACGTGAGCAAAGAGGAATTACGGTCAGTCAAATGGTTCCATTCCATCAAATCTAAACCAGCTAAAATGACATCCCTACAATGCCAGATCACTCACCGATGTTTGCCAAACAATGACTGGATCATTGACAGAACTACTCTAGAACAAAGAGGAATAGCCCTTCCCTGGTGTAAGTTCTGTAAATCTGCTTTCCCGTCCAAACTGATTCCGGAAACAATAGAACATATATTTTTACAGTGCGTAGGTGCAGTCTGGTTATGGCGTTGGTGGGATAGAATTTGGAATCAGATTGAAACCTCCCTACCCTGGCCATGGAACTGGAAATCTCTCCTCCTGGAAGCATGGGCTCCTGCATGTGAAGACAGCTTTACAACGAACCTATTCACGATCGGGAGAAGAACTCTTATCAGGGCCATATGGTCTCGTAGGTGCACATTTGAAATGAAAGATGCCCGTCTAGATGGGCCTGAGTTCACAGATTCCATCAAGCAACAAATCCAACTACAAATTAATTCGAGATGGGAAACATTAAAAGAAAAACTTAAAACCTTGACAATTGAAAAGGAAATCAAACAACATATCCAAACGTTCAATCTAAACTGGCTTGGAGGGGAACAAGGTGGTAAAATTGGGCAGGTCAAATGAAATGGAGTATGTGAGATACCTCAAGGTGAGCTCCCAAGAAATTACCACTTACACTTTAATGACTGGAGTAACATAGATCCGTCCATTCCCCTCAGCCCCCTTTCTGAGTTTCCTGATCCTTGTCCTCCACCCAAGCAGGCCTTAGGCCAGGACCCCAGAACAATTCCTTTGGAAAATACGTTTCCACTGTCGGTGCGAATACCCTTACAAGAGTATCCACCCTCGTCTTTGCAAACGACAGAAAACAGTTTGGTTTAAAGTTTAAGTATGTCATGCCAGGCACGGCCGCATCTGTAATTTATGTTGACTAGGTGGTTGACTAGAGTAAAGAGTGTGTGGGCGCGCGAGTTGAGACGCGCGTGATTTTCCCTTCTTTTGGTTACACTGGCAGACGTGACGTGGATTTTGGTCAGCATATGTTACTTTTGTTTTGATTAAACTGATTAGTCATGAGTACCTTGTTTCTTTGGTTCCGCGGGGTGCGATGGATAGTTCACTGAGCCAGTATGAACTTACGCGAAAATCCAGATGATGGGACCTGATGGATTTGGCTAAGGACGAGTAGCCGTGGCGAGGCCAGTAGGCCAACGTAAGTTTTTTGGGTAGTCCCTTATGCAAGTATGGGTCGGGAAAGTGGTATAGGGCATTTCCTTGGCCCCAAGGGCCGTGCGCTACCTCTCTATAAGGCGTGTCGGGCCTGCTGGTACCAGGATTAGGCTTAGCCCTATAGGTTATAGCACCGGACTGGTACGCAGCAGACATAGGGATCGAGGCCAACGGCGTGCGGCGAGGGAGCGGAGGAGCGCGGCGGAAAGGCTTGAGGGGTTGATGGGCCGGTAGGACTATCCCCCTCGCCTTTTGCTACCACAGGGACCGCAGCTCTAGCTGGCTTACCGCGTGCTTTGCAGTTTTTATATGTGCATAAATATATATACATATATATATATATTATTTAATTCGAAGTTTTAATACTATTATTATCTATCTCACGCCAGTAGGTGGGCGAGAAACCGCGCAGGGGCGGGGGTTAGACAAGCGGCGCGGCCTTTGGTGCCGCCACGAGACGCTGCCCCGGACCAGTCCTTCGGGACATCTGTTAAAACTGGAACGATATAGAGAAGATTAGCGAGACCCCTGCGCAAAGTCGACACGTAAAAATCGGGGGTCCGTTTGGTCGAGCGCTGACAGGGGAGCGCTGCTGCTGAAACCGACCGGAGTCGGGGAGTGGGTTAGGCCACGACGAGGAGCACCGATGAATGAAGAAGGGTGACGCCAATACAAAGGGGGCCGAATCCGGACGAGAGGTAGGGCCCGGTGCCTTTGGAAGAGAGGGTTGCGCACCGCTTTTGGCTCCACGGGGCACTGTCGGAGGTARGCCCTTCGGGGCGTTCGTAGTAGGCCGATCGATACAGAGTAGATTAGCATGGCCCGGGCGCTAGGACAACATGCATATAATGCGAGGAGAGCCCGACGGTCGGGCGTTGTTCTCTTTTTTTCGACAGCCGAACGCCATCGGGCCGCGAAGTGTTGGCACAGTGGGGTGACKAAGCCCAAAACACGGGGAGGCAAGTTCRGGGAAGTCTGGACACGGYAKGCGCTRGCATTTGACCAGGGAGCRAGCGGGCGCTGCAGAGAAGAAGGAGAAAGGGATGAGCCCGGAATGAATCCGGACGRCTTGTTGCGCCGGTTTCATTCCCAAGGGASATGGCAGCAGGGAGGATAGCGAACGAGAAGGAAAGGCGATAGGGGTGAAAGGAGGGAGAAGGCATCAGGGCGCTATCCTACGCCGGGTACGTGCGGGAAAGAAGACCAGATAAGGACGACTGACGGGGACGTTATGAACGTTGCAGAGAAGTGTGGATGAACCCGGACGCGGGGGCGTGCCGGGTGCATCTGAAGCGAGGGAGGACAGAGACGAAGGGTGGAAAATTGAGAGATGGCTCGATTCCTGGCGGAATCGAGTAAAGGGAGATGATGAGGTAAGGTTAGGGAAYGTGGYGAGTTCAGTGAAGSTRTWAGATTTAGGAGTTAGTAAGTASACACGGGGTTGGAGGGAAAAYGACGGTGCGTGGAGCTATGGCGGGAGTGGTGAAGGGAAAAGGGGGAAAGCAAGTATCTCGCTCGGTTCGGAACGGAATCGAGCAAGGGAGGGACCGTTTCGGGGGTTCTAAGG